TGTATACATTGTTTCCCAGGGTGGGGTCCCGGGCAAACTAGGAGTGGGTTATTGCTCTCCCCTTCTATTGTTTATACTCCCACCTTCAAGCTGCTCCCCCCTCAGCCTGGCCTCTCGCTTTCCCTCCCCCGACTCAGCAGGATTTTGCTCACCTGGAATTCCACCATCTCCCACGTTCCCTGCCCTCCGTGGAGGCATGTTAGCCCCTCACCTCTCATGTGTGCCTTGGAGCTTGAACACGCCCTCTCCTCTCTCCAGGTCCTTTACCTGCTTGGCCCACAGTAGGTGCTCAACACGTGTTTATCCAGTGGAGATGACTGAACATGTGCTCAGATTCCTTGTCAGTTTTTCAATTCTAACTCACACAGGGGAGCTGGCGAAATGCCCCAGAAAGCACGTCTGTGATGGGGGCAGGGTGGACGGCCCCTCCTTGCAACACAACGGCTCCTACGTCCACTTCTCACTAATCCGATTGGCCCATCCCTCAGCTACCAGGATGCTCATCTGGTTCATTGCTTCGCCTCTATCTTTCCAAGATAGAACTGGGTGGAAAACGATAAATGTTCCTGAATGAGCTTTGGGATGCAGGGAGGGATGGGATTAAGTCCCCGGGAGTAAGCAAGGTGTCTACTGCAGATCTTCCAGCTGCTGTCAAGAGGGCTGGCTCCAGCTTTGTGCCACAGGTGCCTCCCCAGGGCTTCAAAGCACAGGGACACTGGTTTGTAATCCTCAGATAACAATGCAAGGCCCGCCCCATTTCCACATGCCCCAATCCTGCCCATTCCTCAAGGCACAGCTCCCACGCCCATAGCACCCAGTAGGCATTTAATGATGCCCCTGGTTCCAGAAGCCCTCCCTGGCTCCTGCCTTTTCTTTGGGGTCCCCTCAGTAGCTGCTCAGCTCCCCCTAGGGAGCCCCCTGGTATAGCTTTGGGAAGTGGTACAGTGCGCCAGAGAGGCCGGGCCATGAGTGACCAGCTTGGTGACCTGAGGAGTCCTCCATGTGCTTCCACACTCAGTGCCTCCATCTACACAAAGCCATGCCACTCGGCTCTCTCTGGGTCGCAGGTGAAAAAACATTGACCTAAACTGGTTTAAGCAAAAAGGAAACATTGGCTCACATGAGCAAAATCTCCAGAGACAGAGCTGGTGTCAGGCCTGGCAGGACAGGGGTCATTTGGTGTCCTTGGAACTGGCTTTCTATGTCACCTTCAGCCAGGACTTCCCATGGAAGCAGGAAGGCTGGGTCAACTGGAGCCCTAACTCCTTCCAAGCTGAGTCCCCAGTAGGCTACACTGGAGTCACCGTTTGGGTCACATCGGAATGGCTCATTTGAAGGGTTATATGCCCACCCTGAGCCAACCCCTATGGCAAAGTTATGAAATATGTGATTGGCTCAGACATGGGGTGGAACAGGGGCCTAGGAAATGCTCTGAGCCTCTGTATAGAGGAGCTGTCTCCCTTGGTGACATTGTGGAGCCTGCCACCAAATCCTAAGAACCAGCAGGTACCTGAAACTCATTCAGGTCTTGTCCTCAATTTGAACCTATTGGACAATCCCAGAGCCCCATGAGACATGTACTGCTGGGGCTTCCCTTGATCAAAGAGGGAGCTAAGGTGCACTTTTCAGGGCTTTTCCAAGGTCACCTTGGCTGGTGAGCAGTACAAGTTATGAGTCCAGACATGGCTGCCAGGTTTGCACTCTTACTTTCTTTTATAATCTATTGTAAGAGGGAGACAGCCAAGAAACAAATATACAAGTAAACACCTAATATAATGTAACATAATATTTCATGCCAGGATATACAATAGAATATTCTGTAGCACAACATGGTATCGCATCATATTGGGGCAGGCACTGGTAAGCAGTCCATCTTTGTGTCCATCCCAAGAGCATTTATTGTGAGTGTGGCTCAAGGAGGTGTGTGCCTGTTGGCTGGCTGGTGAATAACTCATTTTATGTGCATAGTGTGAACCTTTGATCCCAAATCCTTGTTTCTTCCATAGAAACATCATCATTGTATATTATATATTCATCATCATTATATATTATATATTTCTGTGATTGTTTCTATCTCACAAGAAGAACAAATGGTTAAAGTTCAAGGAAAAAGCAGGTGAGCTGGAATTTCTAGAACTATAGCTGTGGGTGTTTAAAGATATCGGACGGACCTGTGTCCCTGAGACTCTCTTCTTGGACACTCTTGGAGGAAACGATCTGAGGAAATCTGTTTGACAGGTAGAAAAGGAGGTAGGTGGCAAATGCAAATGTTAAAGAGCTTTTGAACTTAATCTCCCCCTCCTCTCTTTTAAAAGCATGCTCTGGAGTTTTGGGGAATTTCCATGACAGTCTCTAAATTGGTGTTTGCACCACACAAGCAGGCATTGGGCCTTTTGCAGGGTTTGGGCGAGTGTTCAAGTGCACAGGGTGAGCTGAGAGGTGGAGGTTTGGGGTTTTATTAATAATGAAGCATAGTCACCCTTCTGCCTTCTCAAGGCACGGATACTAAGTGAGCAAATAACCTTGAGCTCCTCTCCTCACTCTTGTCTCCCAACTTGCAGCCCAGCGATACATAATTTAATCAGATCATAAAGCAATTATAAAAATGCCCTGAAATGATGTGCACACGTTCACATCTGTAATCAGAATGGCTAACATCTCCCTCCCTCCACCACCATGGTGTAATCCTGGTGTGATTTCAGTTCCATGGAGGTGACTAAGAGTCTAGTCATTAATGCAACGCCCACAAACTTTATTGGAATATACCGTCAGAAAAAAATCTGTTTTTAAAAACTGCACGGGCTGAATGCAGCTGCAAGTGCCAGTCCCTCTTAGCCATTGCACCGGCCGTTTTCATTGTTGGAAACCCTTTCAAAACTGTGCACCAACGAGAGGTTGCTGTCCCTTTCCTACATCTCAGGGAAGGTGCGTTTGGTATAAAGTTATTTGATAGAGGAATTAGGCTTCTAGAAGCTCTCAAATTACTGCCTAGATTTTCACCTTGCCAACAGTATTGGGATGATTTGGTTGTGGTGATGTTGAAGACGTGGAGAAGGAGGAAGAGGAAGAAGAGGAGGAGGAGGAGGAGTCTATAGAACATGCATGATCCAGCAGTGATTCAAATACAGAATTTGGGAAAATTTTGGCAAGACAAATGCTCTAGTTTCTTCAATAAATAAGTGACCTGTAAAAAGAAGGAGGAGAAGAGAGACCTACCAGAGGTTTAAAGAGATCTTCTTTTAGGTCTAAAAGAAGTTACTGGAACCCAGAGACGTTGCAACAGTCATGTGAAAGCTGGCTGGCAGGGGATGTGAGGGGCGTGTATTAGTTCTCTCTTATCTGTGGTTTTGCTTTCCCTAGTTTGTTATTTGTGGTCAAATGTAGTACAAAAATATTAAATGGAAACTTGCAGAAATGAAGCATTCATAAGTTTTAAGTTGCACACCATTCTGAGTAGCATTAGGAAATCTTGAGCTAACCTTCTTCAGCCTACCCAGAATGTGAGTCACTCTCTGTTTAGTGTAATCATGCTGTATAGGCTACCTGCCCATTAGTCACCTAATAGCCATCTTGGTTAGCAGATCAAGTATCTCAATATTGAGTACTTGTGTATAGGGTTCAGGACTGGTTGCAGGTGTCCACTGGGGGATTTGGAACAGATACCCCTCAGATAAAAGGTGGTAACAGCACTGTGTTTTTCATCTGTCCCCCAAAGTACCTGTCATTCCAGCATGGTGACTGAGGTACCATGCTGACTGAGGTACCCAAGCAGGTACTTCTTTTATTTCTTATTTTTTTTTCTGGGGGTGTACCAGGGATTGAACTCAGGGGCACTTGACCACTGAGACACATCCCCAGCCCTATTTTGTATTTTATTCAGAGATAGGGTCTCACTGAGTTGCTTAGTGCCTCATTTTGTTGAGGCTGGCTTTGATCTTGTGATCCTCCTGCCTCAGCTCCTGAGCCACTGGGATTACAGGCGTGTGCGGCTGCACCTGGCTGGCGCTTCCTTGCTTGGGCTTCACTTTCAGCCTGGCTGACCCAGAATTCCTCTGGGTAAAGCCCCTTCCTCCAGAGGCTTCTTTGACTGGTTCTCCCTCACCAAATGATGATCCCCACCTGGCTGGCAGGGACCCTGGCATGGCATTTGTGATTGGACATTGTAATTATGTACATATTTCAATGTTTACAAATGGGAGGTAGCTGTAGATTCACACTCACCATAAAGAATAACGCGCAGATCCTGTGCACCTTGAGCCAACCTCTCCCAGAGCTGACACCTTACATGACAGGAGTGAAAGAGCAGAGTTGGGAAGCCACGTGGTTACAATCACTACCTTATATGAGTTTCACCAGGTTTACCTGCACTTGTTGTTAGTGTGTGTGTATGTATGTGCATATGTGTGTGTGTGTATGCATGTGTGTGTGAGCACCTTGCCCTCCAGGGAATCTCATCATGTGTGTAGGTTTCTGGGACCACAGCCACCAAGTCAAGGTGCAGAGCATTTCCAGCACAAGGGTTCCTTGTGATGCCCTTCGAGGTTGTCTTTTAGCCTGCCTGCTTCTCCTGGGACTCTGAGTGTCTTCAAGCAGGGCCTTAGGTTCAGTCCTGGTGTCCTGGTCCGGTTAACGTTAGCCAGCGTCTGGCTCCCAAGTGATTCTGTATAAATGCTTACGGAGTAGATCCAGATTCTGCCGCAGAAGGAGAGTAGGAAATGAGAATTCTTTTAGATAAATGTTGGTGGAAAGAGCAAGAAAAAATAACCCCAGGCATGGAGTACAAAGGAGGCGCAGTATTGGGGCATCTTTTCCCTCTGCAAAGGATCGCCTAGATCCTGGCAGCAACAATGGGTTCGTACAATCTTAACAAAGCACTTGCTCCTGTGGTCCAAATGGAAACCTGCTTCCAGAGAGGTACAGAGTGCTTTGTGAGGTCAGATATGAACACCAAACTTTGATTCTGTGGTCTCAGTTTGATCCCTTCTGTATCACTTTTCCAGGAACATGGGGGCTCTGCAGCTAATCCACTGGGACATCTTGACCCATGACCAGCTTTTCCTCCGCGACGCTTCACCTCAACAGGAGCCAGCCTCCCTGGGGCTCGTGGTGATTCCAGCCATGGGCCACATCAGGCCTCGTAGGGACAGTGACTCGAGCATTGAGTGTATAGTAAGAGTCTTGGGTTTCTCATCTCTAGACCACCTCAGGATAGATCTGGAAGGAGGGATGCCTTCCCTCATTGGCTCCTGGCCCCACTCTAATGGCAGAGGTTTCAGAGAACATCTTAGACCAGTGTGCTCCTCAGGTGCACAGTCATGAACCTCATCGATGCATGATGCCTCCCCGAGACCTTGGGATCCCTCGGATTTGGTGAATTAAGGAACAGCGAACTGTGTCAGATGATGTGGAATTCCCCACCAGCCCACATCTTGGAAGGGCAGTGACCGGCTGCCCAGAACTGACATCACAGGGTCAGATCTTCATTGGTGGAATCTCATCACATATCAGGCTTTGTGGTGGGTAGTCTGTGGGGTAAGAGAAAAAAAGAGTCCTGTTTCCCATCCACATATGATTTCCTCTGTCCCTCCATCCATCATCTCCCATCCCTCCATCTGTCTGTGCACTCATCCATCTAACATCCTTCTGTCCCTCTGTCCACCTGCTCCTTCATCTGTTCATTCATCCATTTTTATGTTCATTCCCATTTGGGTTTTTAGTAGCTCCAGGGGACGTGTGAAAAGACATTGAGCAAGAGTAGCTTTTGGACTTCCTTGCATTATCGTCCAGACACTAATGTGTTTTTGCTTCTTAGACACAACAAGAACGCCAGTCCTTTAGAATACATATAGAACTGCTCATTGGAGACAAGAGAAAAGTCACTTGTCCTGTGTTAACTAAGAAATAAACTGGGAAATATGAATAGAAAGTTGAGCTGTTGTGAACAGGATGCTCTTTCTGCTTTCATAGCACTTAATAGAATTTGTTTTCTAGTGTCCAGAAGCAAAAATTTCATGGGATGGGTATGTATATGTGTGTTTATTTGTATATATAGACATATACGTATATACACACACATATACAGAGAGAGGCATATGTGTATGTGGGTCTATATATTATTATATATCTATCTTCACTGGCATCTGTTGAGATCTCGGGGGCATCTACTCATATCAAATGGAATGTACTGATTATTTGGTCTCACCTGTGGAGAATTAAAGATTTCACAGGTTTTACGGGCACGGGCACATCTTATGAATGAAAGTCCGGGTCAGCAGGCTCATTCCCATTGGTCTTCCCATTGCTCCATGAGAATCAACTTATCTGCACAGAATCAAACATTCTTTTAAAGGTCTACAGGTGTATTTGACACCTGGCAGAGGGACTAGGGTGCTCGCCTGAAACAACAGAGTTATCACATGAACTTGGAATGAACGCTTCATTATTCTAGAAATAAAATAATACTCCATTATTCTAGAAATGAAATTCGACTGTTCACCTGTTTTCTTCCAATACAGTGACCTATACTAATAAAAAATGCCCATATTGCCAAATTCTGGGATATATGGATTTTTCACAAAATTCTTATGTTTTGCAAACAGAAGTCGAGAAAAGGAGGAGGGGGAGGAGGAGGAGGAGGAGGAGGAGGAGGAGGAGGAGACCAGGGAAAGGGCAGGAGTGGAGATACAGGGACATGAAGCCAGGGCTGGCCCTACTCATGCAGATTCCTGCAGGAACAGAGCGGAGACACTGGAGGGAATGAGAGACGTCCACAGAGCGGGTCAGGGCCTGTCCTGCTTTGACCTTCACAGGATGGAGCTGTTAAGGCCGGACCTGAGGCACCTGTCCTGACTTCAGTGTTATGGAGTCAAAGAATACCTACTTAGCACAGTTTCAGGGACTGGGCTTCTTTCATTGCTCTGAGGGAGTCTGTGCCTCCTCTTAACTAAGCCTCTGACTGTTCTGGATCTCTCTGTGGGTCCCCAGGTGGATACAATGTCCGGGGGAGTTGGAGAGACCCACTGTGGCCCTCTGGGTTTGTGTTTCCTCATTATCTGTAAAATGTCGGCACTGTCCTAAAGGGTCCCTGAACCTTGGTAGTCTACGCTTCTGTGCACACACGCGTATTCTTCAAGTTAGTTCTCGTGGCAAGGTGTACCCGTGTCTTGGCACAGTCACTGGCACGTGGCAGCCCCTGAGAGTGACGTTTGGTTTTCTTCTTGTTCCCATCTCAGGAGGCCCAACATCTCTGCTGATATTTCAACAGTTTCAGTGGAATCATCCAGCAACCTCTGTGTTGCCATTATAGCTGCACACTCTTCTGGACAGTGCTTGGGGATTTCCGTGAGGAAAGAAGAAGTCTTGCTCAAGCCCTGGTGAGGTAGACAGGACCTGGAAGTCTCCAACTCTCCTGACTTTGTGCTCTTCCTACCACCTGCACGGCCTCTCTTCCTCATCCTGCATGAGCTGCGATTCACTTGCATCTCGGGGAGGCTCCTTGACAGCGGGGACCTGGGAAGAGATTGGCACCTGGGCTATCCAGGTAGGTGCAGCCACTGCCCCTGCTACTACCCTCCGCTCACTGAGAGAATTCACAGAAACGTGTGACTCGGCTTGTTTTTCTTCTAAGAACCGGAGGTGAATGCTTGCTCCTTGGAGGAAGTTCTGTGGCTCAGAGAGAGAGAAACCAGATCATATGCCAAAGTGACCTTTCTCCCCAACTGTCGCGCAACACACAAAGCTAATTAGCCAGGTTCTAATTGGGTTGAAGTCTGAGAGTCCTGGGGAAAGTGGCTCCGCGAAGAGGACACAGTCTGCAGGGTCCCCGCTTGGGCCTGTTCTCCCTCGGTGACTTGTGTATTAAATTGGTTGAGTTTACTGGCCACAAGCTGGGTTTTCAGATGGGATGGCTTGGCAGCCAGCCCCTTGGAACCTCTGAGCCTAGCTGCGGTTTCTAGTCAGCATCCTGGAAGTCGGGATGGGCCGGGATGGCCGGGATGGCCGGGGCGACCGTGGCTGTGAGTTCTTCTTGCATGCAACCACCGTGTCCTTGCCTGAGCGGGAAGACAAATTCACACAACGGGGAGTGGCCACATGTGGAGGCAGTGGGTACACCCAGGCTTGCAGGAGAACCGACGTGAGGCGGAAACCTGGGCTGTGGGGGCTCACCGAGGGGGCTGTGCCATGGCTGAGGAGCCTGGAGCTCAGACCAGCGTGCGGTGAGCCTCCACCCACACCAAGAAGCCAAGATGTGGCACAGGGCAGGGCGCAGGCTTGGGAAACAAAGCCTGCCTCCTCGCTGACCCCCTGATGGGAAGCAGGCCAGCACCAGGCTCTGGTCAAGGGCCCAGGGACACCAAAGCCACTTGGCTTCGGACTTGAGGGCTAACCTAAGCTTTGCGCAATGCCAAGAGAGCAATCCCGCTCCTTTAATTCCAGTGCAGACCTTGGATAATGTGGGAAGGTAAAGAAAAGGAAATCACGAGCCAGGTCGCGCGCTTTATTTTCCGGTAGCTCCCAGGCGTGGTTCACAGGGCCATCACGTCTTAGTACACACAGGTGGCGTGCGCTGCGTTACTCAATGGCAGGCACCTCGTGACCCTTCTGCACGAATCCAGGAGTGAGAAGACGGGGCAGGGAATGTGAAAGAGAAGAGCAAAGGGAGCAGCTGGCCCTGGAGACAGTGACCAGACAGGACGTCCAACCTGGTGTCGCCCCACCGCAGGGGTTCACTGGGGGTGGAACTTCTTTTGGGGAGCTGTGTGTGTCATGTGCCTGCTTCCAGAGGGCCAAGGGCGTTCCTACTCCCAAGGCCCCTTCAGAGACACTTCAACACCCTGACCACCTCCTCGTCCACTAAAGCTTCCCAGCCCACCCTGGACACTTTCGTTACGGAGTCGATCACTGACTATTCGTTCCTCGTTTTCTCCATCTGTCTGTGAGATCTTTGAGGGCTTGGATGGTGTCTTACCTTCACACCCCCAAGAGAGCAGAGTTGCCAGCGGTTATAACGTGAATGACTAGATGAGGAAGGAAGTCAGTCAGTCTGGAAATCAGAGCTGCTGTGCAGGAAAGAGACCCTGCCCCTAGGGTGGTCCCCAGGACGGTCCCTGGGACCAGAGAGCGAAGACCTTGTCTCAAGATTCCATGAGAAAGGCCAACCCGTGCTTCCGCCTGCTCATTATTTATCACAATCACTTAAACCAGCTCAAAGCCCTCCTCTCCCCAAAAGGACCCAAGGAAAAGTTGACATCTAATGTCGGTGAGTTACATGAGTTACGTGTTCCTGGGTCAGTCGACTAGACGTCTTTCTTTCTTTTCTCTTTGTTTTTCTTTTCTATTTTCATTTCTTATCAGCACAAAAGAATGTTCTTTTGTTTTTGATTTTACCAGAAGTCACACTTGGGTGTGGATGAAGAGTCAAGATAAGTTTCTTAGTAAAGGAAGCACCACGATTCTCTGCCTGTGCGTTGAAGGTGGCCTGGGGAAGCCCGCTGTCTCAAGGGGACCACATCCTTTCCATGAAACGCCCGCCCGTCTCCAGGCTCTGCCCACCCCAGCCTGCTCACCTGCATCCAGTCTTTGGCAATCGAGAGTGAAAAGGTCAACAACCAAAAGTTTTCAAGCCTCCCTAGAAGAAACAGCCTCCTCTTTCCATTACGTTTCAATTAGAAGAAAAAGGCAGATTTTGAGGAAATGAGCCCATGGGAAGGGGATAATAGGAAAGAGCTGCGAGGCACAGAAGCAGCCTCCTCCGTGGAGAGCTAGGCAGGCAGCCTTCACTACTCTCCCCTCCATCAGTCCCCAAGCCCCAAGTGGCCCAGCTGAGGTCAACCTGAGCTCCTTGCCACTGTAGGGCATTTACCCCCTTTTCTGAAAAACAGCTTTGTTGGGATATAATTCGGAAAACAGGCACTTCTCCCCCGGGAAGCGCACAAGCCATGGATTTTACTGTATCCGCAAGATCATGAGCCATCATTTCTGTCTAAACCCAGAACCTCCTCGTCACACCCCCTGCAACTCTCCTGACCATCAGTGGTCACTATCTTCTCCTCCCTGGCCCCTGGCAACCACCCATCAACCATCAGGGTCTATAGATGTGTCCATTCTGGACATTTCGTATGAGTGGGATTGTATAATGCGTGGTCCTTCGTGCCTCTTCCACTCAGCAAGACGCTTCTGAGATTTATCTCCATGTTGTAGTGTGCATTAGCACCTGTTTCTTTACATGGCTGAATACTATTCCACTTTATATGTGCAACTCACTTTATTCATCTGTTCGTCTCCCTCCCACTCCATCCCTTCTCAGCTCTGAAGACTGACCCCAGGGCCTTGTATGGGCTAAGCACCTGCTCTGTCTCTGAGCTATACCCTTAGCCTATCTGTTCCTCTCTTGATGGTCATTTGGATGTTCCTGCTTTTGGCTATTTGGCGTCATCGGCTGTGAACATTCATATACAAGCTTTTGTGGGGTTGTGCTTTCATTTCTCTTGGGCATGTTTAAGAGTGAACTTGCTGGGTCACAAAAAGCCAAGTTTAATCATTTGAGAAACGGCCTGTTTTCCGTCTCCTCTGTCTTCCCACCCTGGACCACACAATGGCCCCTTCACTCTTGTCTTTTGCTCCAGCCGTGTCCTCTCCTTCTGCTCAGGTGTCCTCACCCCATGTCAGGGAACACAGTCCAGCGGCACCCTGGAGAGCCGGGGTGGTGAACGGGAAGGACAAGGGGTTGCCTCAGGAGCTGGCATTGGGACAGCTGCTGGCCGGGGTTCCCCAGCGGCTGCAGTCGGCCACCACAGCCCCGAGGGCACAGCTCCTGCTGAGACCTAGAAGGGCACAGGGCTCTCGGGCCTGCTGCGCCTCGAGTCACTCTGGTCTTCCTGGGACACTCTTTACTGAGCTGAGCCGTGGCACAACCCATTTATTTTAAAATCGGCGTAGAGCAGGCCATTTTCCTCAGAGGTGGCCAAGTGAATTTGTGAATGAACGGAGTTCAATATGGTCAATAAATTAACTTGCTTCAAGTCACAGGGCGGGATGATGGCAGAGTCCCCACCAGATTCTCCTATCAAAGATCTTTCTGTTTGGTTTTTAATCTCTCCTCTTAATTGGTGATCAAATGAGTGAAGCTGCATTGTAGATTCTCTTCCACCACTAAGTTGGGGATTTTCCTCCTCCGTAGGGCTGACATTTGGGGCCTCAGAGTCCACCGTGGGGACCTCCCTGGGCACTGCAGGCTATTTGGCAACACCCCTGCCCTCTGATCACTGGGTATTGATAGTGGCCTCCTTTGCCCCGAGGTCATGACAACCCAAAATGTGTCCAGATTTTGCCAAATGTCCCCTGGGGGAAAAAATGGCCCAGTGGAGAACCACCATTGTGTGACAAACTCGATGTAGAGAGTGGCCAAGGGCATTGCCCACTCTCTGCCCATCATAGAAAGAGTTTTAGCCAATTCCCCTTTAACAGAGCAGGAAATTAGACAAATGTAAATTTAGAAGGAATTTTAACAATAAATTTAGAATCCAAAAGGGTTTTACAAGCAATTTGCCGTTAATGAGGGTATTTAGTTGACCAGATTCCCTACTTTTTTAGAATTTTGGTTAATAAGTATCAGCTTTATGGGATTCCCAAGTACCCTGGGTTAGGCAGGCTGTGGGGTCCTGCCCATTAAGGAGACATTTTCTCAAAGTCTTTTTTGGGTTGCTTGGCTCAGACTTTCACCCAGGATCAGAACTTCAGGTGAGTCATGGTAACAGGAAGGGTGGGGGGAGAGACTGTTAGAACCAGAGGCCCCACGACAAACGTGGTCCATTTTTAAGGGCTTGATGTTAATTTCTAGAACATTCCGTCAACATCAGCCTTGAACCGAGCCTGAGATGCAGACATGAACACAGTTGCTCGGAGCCAGTGTGACTTTCAGGGTCTGGGATGCTCCCTGGCTTTTGCAGTGGGTGGGACTGGAGACCTCATTAGTAAACTCCTTTTAAAATGTGAGTCCTCTTAGCTGGATATATCCAAATACAAGATGTATCTTTCCCCGCTGGCAGAATCAATAAATTTGCACGATGCACATTAAATGTTTAATTAAAGCTCAATGTGCAAGCATTTTCGGGAAGTTATAAAAGCCCTCTGCAGGAGGCCTGGAAGCTAGGGGTGCCTGTGGATTTGCCAGGGCTCCATCCATCAGTCACCAGGGGCCACTTCCTTCCGATGCTGTTTTGTATGTGAGTTATGTTGCATGTCTCAAAGCTGATGATGAACGTATGACCATGTTCGGGTGACCCCCAAGATTACAAACACAGGAGCCTTCAGGAGCAAAACAGGTGGCCAGAATCTCCCTCCTGCCAGCATTGACACTGACCCCTCTACAAGGAAGGGGAACTGGAGGCTCTGCACAAGGCCCATGCTGGGGGAACAGAAGGATTCCAAGAGCAATTTGAAGCTGCAAGGGGAAAGTGTGAGAGACGGAATTGCACTCCTTTGGCTCTCCTTGCCAGAGAGAGTGCCCGGGTCTTGGAGCTGGATGCATTCCCGAGCAAGATGCCAGGCTCAGATGATGCACCCTGGGCGCTCTCGCACCGTGGGATGGAGCCTTATTTAGTAGCTGTATTAATTGAACCCTCACGCTGTGTGGCTTGGTGGAGTTCACATCAGAACATCTCCTCGCCGCTGGAGATGTCCCTTCCTGAGTTCCTTCGCCCTCCAGATCGGAGCTCTTCCTGGCTGATTTTGTTTTTCATTCACCTTTGCCCAGGCGTTCCCTGAGTGTCTGTGAATGGTGCAGCTGTTTGCCCCGATCTTTACCTTTATTGAGCATCTATTCAGTGTCAGCCACCACAGTAAGTGATTTACCCGCAACATCTTCTTCAACCTCCACGGGCGCCCCAGGAGGTGGGATGGGTGACTTCCCACACCCTGTGTTTGTCTCTCTGCTGGCTTTTCTACCTTTTCCTGGTAGCCCTGGTTTCTTCTACCTCCTTCTTCTTTTTCTTTTCCCTTCCCTTTGTCCTTAACCAACTCCACCTTGGAAGGGTAAATGTCGTCATTTGACTGCACATTCTAGTGTCTTCTTGAATTTAAAAATCTGGTCCCTGACTCTGTTCCAGCCTCAGTTTGAGCCACACCCTCGGGGCTTCCCATATTCCAGCCACACACACCAGCTTTCTTTTCTGCTTCTCCATGCTCTTTCCCACCCCAGGGCCTTTGCACACGTTTTTTGCTCTCTTCCACTGTAATTCTCTTTAATCTTATTTGCTTAGTTAACGCCATACACCCAGTACCATCTTTGTGTAGCTTGTGGGCTAAGAATGTTTTTGTGTTTTAAGGAGTTTGTTTGTTTGTTTAGAAGAAAAAGAAGGAGAAAGAAGAGAAGGAAATAAGGAGAGGAGAAGGAGAAGCCTCAGCGGTAGCAGCACTCGTATACTGCATGGTCCATGACACTTACGATGGCTTGCTCTCCGGCCCTTACAGGAGATGTCTGCAGCTTTCATAGAGATCCTGGGTCCAAGCGGGTAACTCCACAGGCAGGGATGTTTCTGCCTGGTTCATCCTTTGCCCCAAATGCCCAGTTCAAAGCCTCTCACAAAGCAGGCGCTCAATAACTTGGTGAGATGGAAGAATGACTGAAGAGTCCTCATCTTCCCTCCTTTGCGCTTCCCTAAGCGGCAGGAGCCCGCCAGAGCGCTCAGGCTCCACCAATAGCCGAGGACCCTTCTGCAGCCTGGGCCCCCAGTGCCGCCCCTGCTCATGGAGTCTGCACTGGGCCTCGCCCCACTTGTGCGCATTCCCCCACATTCCTCCTCCTCGTCCTGGGAAATCTCGTTGGTCACCAGGTCTCAGCTCAATTCCCGTCTCCCCGGGGAATTTTTCTCTGAGCCTCAAGAAAGCCTGGATGGTGTTTCTTCCTGCTCCACACCTCTTTGGCCTACTTGTACCCAAACTCTGACGCCTCCGTCTCGTAATTGCTTTTTGGAGTGTTTCTCTCTCCGTCAGGTGCGGGGTGCCGGGGGACAGGGATGCTGCTGCTGTTCATCTTGCATTCCTGCACCCGCGATGATCCGCAGCCCACATCGGGCACTCAGAGACGTGTCGGATGGACAGGTGGAGTGGATGGACGGATGAATGAGCAGGGGGGATGATTGAAGGCCAAAAGCCATTCCCCTTCACCGGTGTGTCGGGAAAGGAATCAGAGGTTGGTTTTTAAACACATCTAAAACTCTTTTTGTGTTACCAATGTCAAGATGTGCTTGGCACGTACCTTTATGACTCGTGGCTGATTTACAGAAGAGTTGTTTTATTCCTTAATTCCAATGCAGGTGGCTTTCGGGGCTCCTTGGCCTGCCTGTGACTGGCTCCCAAGTGCTGTGGAAGACTGTTGGGGGGCGGGGGAACACCTGCTCGATCTGAGTTCAAAACTTGCAGCGAGGTGCAATCCAAGCAGGCAGAGAACTGGTAGGGAATACCTGGGAATTCATCCTCTTCAGGGTGGTGTGAGCATCATGGGTTTGTAATTCATTTATTTTTCTATTTTAATTTATGGAACTATTGTCCTAATATTATTTGGCCAATAAAGAAAATAGATATCTGGTCGTTGGAGGCATCTCTGCTTGGATCCTTGGATTGCAAATCAGTAATAAGAGGAAGGACATTTTTTCAAGCCTGTGTCTGAGAAGTTGGAGGTATCAGCATACAGACAGTGAACACCCATAGGGTGGAGGCAGTGGGGAAATGGGTGCTTCACTTGTGTGTCATAGTGGGGTGGCTGAAAGTCAGTGATCCTGAATGAGACTTAAGTTCAAATTACCTAATAAGCCATGGTGCTATTCGGAATGACTTTTCCTCTCTCCCTAGATCTTGGCTGCTCTAACACTCAGTTGCTGCAGATATTTAATAAGATGATGTGTACAGTCGGCTCAGCACAGAGCCCAGCATGCAGCAAGGGCTCAGTTTACACTGGCTCCTACAGCAGGCAGAATTCTCAGAGGTCCCCCAAGATGGCCACCCTCATCCCCAGGACTGTGAATACAGTGAATGTCATTCATGAATGTGACACCTGTGACTAGATCATGTTCCATGGCAAAAGGGATTTTGCAGATGGACATAAGGATACAAATCTATTGACCTTAAGATGAGTTATCCAGAGGGTCTCATCTAACTCATAAGCTCTTGGAAAACAGAGGGATTCTGTAGCTGGAAGCAGGAAGGGGGAGTCAGAGAGATATAAAGCCTGAGAAGAGTTCAATGTTGTTGCTAGATAAGGATGTGAGAAGCTAACAACCCCCCACCCCACTCGACAGCTAGTGGAGAAACCAGGACCTCAGTCCTGTAACTATAGTTAGACTAACTCTGCAAATGATCTGAATGAGCTGGAAAGCAGATTGTGCCCCCCAGGCATTCACTGAAGAGCTCAGCCTGGTAAGTCCCTAACCGGAGAACTCAACTGAGTGCATTTGGAAGTCCCTAACCGGAGAACTCAACTGAGCGCACTTGGACTAGTGTCCTCTAGAACTGTGACATAACAGGTGCGTTCATTTCAAGCTGCTACGTCAGCAACAGGAAACACTACAGCTTTCGTTATTATTGCACCAATAGACTCATTTCAGCCCGGGTGAGGCAGTGCACTGGGGGTTATTATTGTTTGCTTATAGCTGAAGAAACTGAAATTCAGAGAAGTTGAATTTCAAGCCCACACAACTTCTAAGTGGTGGTGGTGGGGAACAGAGGCTCAAACCCAGGTCTTCTGATAATTTCTGTGTGTTTTGACCTGTCACCACCTCTATGCCTCTATGCCTGGGGCCTCAGTAGCCTCCCCGGTGGGTCTGAGTTTGTTCTCTCTGGAAACCTCCATCCTTGTGGATGGGAGGCTGGAGATGACCTGTGCTGTCCTGTCTAGAACCTTGATCTGACTGGAAGCAGCTGTGGGCGCAGAGCAAGCCAATTTCAGATTGGACTGTAGTCTCTGCTCTGTCCTGGCCCAGAGCCCATGGGCATGACCTCCTGATAGCTACAGGCTGCTTCATGTTGAATCCAGTATATCCCTTCCTGGGGGAAGAAAGGTAGGCACTGGGCATGATTTGGATGACATCTACTTATGAAGTTGGAGCAGGCCAGAGACAGGAGATTGTCAGGGAGTTTGTGCTTGGCTTGTGAACTCCTAGCTTCCTGGCTGTGCCGTGAACTTGGCCACTCTTTAAGAGCTATTGAAGTCAATGGCAAAATATCCATCACCACTGGTAAGGGCTCTGTAAAGGCTTAGATACTACTGCACCACCTCTCTGTCGATTGGAGTCTGGAACCTGGGAGTTTGCAGGGGGCATTTTACCTCCTGAGGATCATGGTGGACTTTTGCATAGAGAGTATTGGCTCAATTCTAGGCCCATGAGGCTCCTAAGAGCTCAGTGCTATTCTTGCTCATTTAAAAGGCAAAGGAATTTTAATAGTCCAAGGGATGGAATTCCTCCAAGCCACTCAGGCCCTTGCTCTCTGCCACGGCTAAGATTGATTTGGACACCTTAGACTGAACCTTAGAACTAGCCATAAGAAAGGGATTCTGTCCTGAATGGAAGCCAAGCTGGGTAACTCAGAACCTGAGCTAAGACTTCCCTGGGTCATCAGGACTATCCAGCTGCCCGTAGCTATGGATACCTGGTGAGGAGGAGCTGGAATGCTGGAACGCAGGCTCATTGCTGAGCTGCAGACTCTATTGGGATGACCTAGAGCAGAACTGACTCGCCACAGTGCTCATCGGGTTCTACGGTGGCCCACAGGTGGACTAGGATCACGTGCCCATTCTGCTGTGAAGGTCTCATGAACTTCCCTGAATCCTTAAAGGCATCCATGGCTCTAGAAACCCTGATGTAAAAAGAATTCAGAAGAAGAAATACACCTGTGGAAATAAAGAAGAGTTCTGGGATATGACAGTGCCCACCAGAGTACTCTCACCCTGCAAGGTAAAACCCGTGAGCAAAGCCCAGCAGTCTGGAAATCACAAGAAGGATCTCAGCTGAAAAGAAAGCAATGAATGAGAAAACAGAAATATTCTAGGGCTTCCATACAATGAAGTTTGCATTTATCTTCCCATACCAACTTGAGGCCACAGGAGAAGGGGTGGGTGTGGAAATGGAGGCCCCAGCGTAGGAGAGAATGAGAGAAGATATTTATTTCAGGATGTTGGGAGATTTTAGTTTTCAACTTCTTTTCACGGACAAACACGTACCCCCAGAGGTCGGAAGTGACAGCAGATACTGTAATGTACCAGGCACAGAAGGCCTTGGGGAGACTCCAGACCCCTCTCACTGTCTTCTGACAGCTGTCATTCAAAGCGATCACAAAGGCCTATTGCCACATGCACCTGGCAGTCTTCCTCACCTTCCTTCCAGAGGGCAGAGGCCAAGCATCAAAGCCCTCTTTCAGAACCATCCACAAAGCCACGCTAACCTCACCTTTTGGGGGCAGATCCAATCACATTTGGGGAAAAAAAGAGATTATGTGAAAGATAAATGACTTAAAAATTGGCTTATTGAACATTTTGATATATCATATTCATTATTCCTTTTACTGATTATGAAAGAAAACACAAGAAAAGCAGAAAATAAAGCCATGAATGAAGATAGTGCCTGAGAAGCACTGGTCGCCAGGACTGTTTGCCTTCAAGCTCTTTATTGTGATGCACCCGCACACACACACACACACACACACACACACACACACACACACGAGCACGTTTGCAAATGTGTAATTAAAATATTTGCAACAGAATCGGGATCAGAGTCACTTCCTAATATATCATCAATATTTTCCCAGGTCATTGAACGCTCTTTGAAAGCATGTCTTTATTGGCCACATAAAATTTAACTGTGTGATTATAAAATAATTTATTTTTATTATTTTGTTTATTTGGGGACATTAATTTCCTTTCCAATCTTCGGTAATAGAACTGCTACTTTGACCTATATCCTTGTATATGATTGCCGAATATCTGATGGTTTCCTTAAGATAATTATCAAAAACTGGGGTTACTAGTGAGAAAACATACATATTCTGGGGCTTTGATACAACAAAGTGTACATTTATCTTGCCAGTGTCATGTTTTTAAAATTCTGCGTCAATTTGCAAGACAGTATTTTTTTTTTAACAGCACTTTAAACACCTGCTCTGGATTTTCTTCCTTGAGGAGCCTGTGTTCTGTCTGCACACTCACCCCCACCTTCAAACTCAGTAGCATCCCCTGAAAGCTTCCAAGGAGCAAAGGAGGGGTGAGGAACAAGACAAAGGAGGCAACTCTGTAAAGATAAGCATGTGTGTTTTCACCTAGTCACACAGGGGTACGTTAAATAAAGGCATAAATAAGAACACAAGGCCAAATAGTTTACTTCCAAACAGACCATGCAAAGCATCTTTGAGAGTTCTGTTTAAATCTTTAGCTATTCAAATGAATTACTCAGCCACAGGCTCTTACCCCGGGGTTCTCAGGAAAGCATAGCATGCACCATTTGTCTCCATCTTTGTTGAAAAAGCAGAGAATCCAAAGCCACATAAGGTCACCCTACAGGCCAGGTCCCGTACCAGGCTCCATCACACCCATTCCTCCTTTGTGCTCACAAGATTTTCTTTTCTTTAATTCTGTGCATAGAGGAGTCAATGTCAAGGTCAAAGCTGATCAAGGTCAAAGCTGGGCAAGGTCAAGGTCAAGGTCAATGTGAATCCTGCTCTGCCTGCTCCACATTCCATGCTCAACTCACTATGTCTGCTCACCAGTTCTTCTAAAGACCCTTGCCCTGGAGCCACTGGGGACAGCCCAGCTCCCATGCTTCCTTCTCGGGGCTTCAGCATGACCTGGGGGGGGGGTCAAACCTCTCCAGGGAGCAACACCTGACACAGAGGTTTCACCTTCCTCACAGCTGGGCCCACGCGTGACCACGAGTGAGTCACAAGTGAAAGATGGAGCCGTCTCTCCTCGCTGCGGTGCTCTGGTCCCCAAACCACATTTATGTTTTCATATAAGTGTCGGGATGATTCAGCGGAAACTTCTGGTCAAACGGATCACCATAGCAACTTTCAATAGACATCCAACATGCAAATTAGAGAGTGGAAAGGGACAAGTTTCAATAGCCTCAAACCACCGTCCTCCGAACCCGAACCCTGCGTGGATTGAATCCCAGATGCTTTGAAGGGGTAACGCAGAGTCAGCAGCGGAAGTCCATTTCACACCTGCCAGGTCTGCCGGGACCTTCAGATGCTAAGAGGAGATAAGCAAAGGCCTCTGTGTGGCTTCTGAATTCTTTGTCTAGCAGGGAAGACATGTAGAGCAGGGTTGGGAGGCTGGGGTTCACATTTTCCCCATGTCATTCATAAACCTCCGGGTCTTGGCCAACTTGTGAGAACTCGGAGCTGTAGGATTTTCACCTGTAAGAAGGGGATGGGAGCGGTGCCCAACAGGGGTGTGGTGTCTGAGTGGTGAGCGGGGGGTGGTTGCAGGTATTAGTCTCTCAGTGCACAGCATATTTGGACCTTCTGAAGCATAGTTTATCTTTAGGCCTCAGCCTTCTGTTGAAGTGAGTTTTGAATATCTGCTTTCAATATCCAGAATGTGCGTGCATGCGTGCGTGTCTGGGCATGCTTATTTAATGACTCCTTTCTCCTAATTGACCAATTTACTTCATCAAAACAGACTATAGAACCACATCCATAGGTTAATTTTTTTCTTTCACAATAACAGAAGCAAAGCCAGAAGAGGCTGGACTGTTACCCAGAGGACTAGATGTACTTTTTGGCCACTTGGGAATGTATGGTTGGGAGTGGTGGGTGTACTCCTGGTGACACTCACGGCTCTGCTTTCCAGAGACTCACCTGTAATTCCAACACTGAGTTTCAGGTTTGGCAAGAGGCACATAAAAACGTTCTCAAGGTGTACTGATGAAAAAGAAAGAAAGAAAGAAAGAAATCCAGGCTTCAAGGAGGATCAGCTTTGCATCTCTCAACCTGCCTTCACAGATGTGAGAGGGGCGGGACGTGACCTGGGACTTCTTGGGAGCAGGAGTTGTCTCTGGCAGGAGATGTGGGCACTAGATAGCATCAGCTGAGATATTAACATGGCGGCAGAGAGCGTGATGTGACGCACGGTTCACCTGCTGTGCAGCAGAAAGATGGAATTGAGTTGGACGATTCTGATGAATCAAGTCACAGGCCTGCCTCCCTCCTTGCCAACAGGAGAGAGAGGAGAGGGACGGAGCGCTCAGCTCATGGGGCAGGCCCTTTCAAGTTCAGGCACAATCTGTAAGTTGAGAAGAAGTCAGTTTAGAGAAGTCAGTTTATCCCACATTCACTGAGCACCTTCTGTGAGTGACCCTGCTTCAATGTCAGTCCCTGCCCTCCAGGAGGCATGGAAGAGGATGGATGGATGGAGTCACAGTCCTATGATCGAGGCCAGCACAGGATGCCCCAGGACAGTGCCAAGTTGCACTACAGGCAGAGAAATACTAGCTGGAGATATCAGCAAAGCTGCTCTTCCACCTCCAAAATATACTTCTGTTGACAGCAATTTAAAACACAAATCAAATTTATTATTGTGGGAAAAGCTAAACTTTGTTGGACTTCTTTCACTTCCCTTCCTGCCTTGCATCTCCACTTTTAATTACATGTCAGGTGACTACCATCTTTTATCATCCAGTTCTTAGACCCTCCAGCCACATGTGGGAGCCCAGAATCTCCCTCCTCCACATCTGGGGTTTTGGGGAGATTTCTAAGAGAAGGTGATATCTGAAATGAGCCACTCATGCTGCAAACTATGATGGGGACAGGCACACTGAGAGGAGGAAGAACAGGGGAAGATGCCTGGACTCTAGCATCCTGGACCAACAGTGCTGGGGTCCTAACCTTCCATCCCATTCCACATCCAAGTACCTGTGGGGATGGGAAGTGACAGCCAACCACACTGGGCCCGTTTGTGCTGAAGTTAGGTGGTACCGTATGGCACTCGTAAGCATTCTCTCCTGGAGTCAGGGTTCCAAAGTGCTGCACCATTGTTGCTATTGCCTCTTGGAAACCAGACCCCTGCTGTTCCTGCTTCTGTACTTTAGGAGGCATGGAAGAGGATGGATGGATGGATGGACTACGTACTCAGGCACCAGTTTGTTTACTGGGCACTCACTAATGCCTGCTCCCAGAGAGGAGCCATGCTGGGGGCTTCACCTGACCTTGAGCTTCTCCCTCCAGAGTGAGCTACTCAGGCAGAGTGTCTGAGGGTGACCTGTCATGGGGTAAGACCTCACAGAACAAGGATGCACAGAAAAATCCTCTGGAGTCCCAGGGTTCACAAGGGAACGAATCCCAGGGCTGTGCAGCTGCCCAATAGTACAAGTGGCCTCCACAGAATTCTCCAAAGTGAATCTTACCTTAAAGTCAGTGCATCGTAACTGTTTGCAAATCTATGATTCTGGAGCTTGTTGAAAGCACCCTGGGAGACGTTGGCGAGCAAGAACGATGGGGTAAGGCTTGCTGCATGCTTGTTAGGTGCCAACTCTGGCAACGTATTTCATGATCAACTGTCCTCTTCCAAACTCTGAATGACTAGAAAAATTCCCTCTCCAAATTGCAGAGGAAAAACTGACACCAAGAGAGGTGACTGTACTTGCTAGACACCGTAGTACAGGCAGAAAGGAGCCTTGTTCAGACTTTGCTCGGCTTTGCTTTCTGGAGATCTTGTCTCTTCTACAAAACGCAAGACTGGACTACAAAACTGCCCCCGGCTTAGCCCACAGGCCTTTGAGACACCACACAGGGAATGGGATCCAGGCTACCTTCACATACTAGGTGCTTCCCCTGAGTTTTTCATGGAACCCGTGTTTTATGGAGAGAATTCCAAGTATTCTTTTAACTAGACAGGCCTCATACTTCAACCTAAGGGGCTAAAGTTTGTAGAAAAAGCTGAGGTCAACTGGGGCAGGGAGGCTGTCACTCCAGCTAGGCCAGAGCAGAGCAGAGCCAAGTAAATATTTGTGAGGGCAAATGGTATCTGAGGACTACCTAGAAGGTTCCAGTGGCGCTGGGGCACTGGCACACCCGCCTAGGACATCACTGTCCATTTCTGGACAGTATGGATCCAGCCCGATCATCGTTTCAGAAGGAAGCCAGCCTGCCTTCGGAGTAAACAGTTAACTCTTCTGGGCTGGCAGAAGAAATGATTATTCAAAAGTTGGTCCCCACATACAAATGCAAATGACATCCCGGGACACATGAATGCTAATTTCTCCAACGGAGTCTGTAGACAAATGCTAGTCATTAGAAACATTTCCGTGCATTTCTATTAGGCCGTCCTCTAAAAGACTTTTCAGACAAATATGTCATCAAGATATTCAAAACCATGTAATCTTATCCAAAGTTTCATCTATCAACAGCACAGTCTTCATCTCTTGCAGCTGTGTGTCAGAATGTGCGGGAAGATTACTCAGCTGATACGGCGGAGCTGGGAGGGGCCGCAGTCTCAGGGGTCCACAGAGCGCCCCAACAGCAGGGTCTGGGTTTTCAGGGTGGGCCAGGCCTTTCAGCCACAGGTGGAGAGGAGAGGCCAATGCAGGGGTGTGTGGGGGGTGTTGGGGGGGTGACCTCTAGCAGGTTAGAGGAGAAGTACTGGGCGGGCCC